CGGCGGGGAGTTTGCTTCTCCCTCTCCCTCGGCTACTCTCTCTGTCAAGTAAATAAATAAAATCTTTTAAAATAATAATAATAATAATAATAATAATAATATCTTCACGGAGTTGTTATGAGAACAATTAAGTATTGAGACACTGCATCATAAAGAAGCAGGCTAGGAAGGGACCCACTGTGGAAAGGTGCCTTCATCATATATCATAATCATATTTATAGTAATCACAGGCACTAACTAGACTCCACGTGATGTGCTAAGGACATTGTGCGCCTGACCTCACTGAATCCTCCTGATAACCCTATGCGGTAGATATTACCCTCACGGAACCAATTACAAACACAGAGGCTCAGAGAGGTTAAGTAATTTTCCCAAGATCGCACAGCTAGTAAATAACCAGATCCAAACCCAGGCATTTGGACTCTGGAGCCTATTTGCTTAACCATCACGCAGCCATGTCCCCAAGTACTACTAACCCCCATTTGCATGACTGAAGAAAAGGGTACATGGTTGGATCCAAGGTCACAAGTAAGCACGCGGAAGACACTTTGCACTTTTCCCAGAAGGGATTCACCCTCACTTGCATCTTACCGACTCTGGGCAACACCTCTGAGTCTCCTGCTTTCAACCTCTCCCCGCTCCTCCACTTGTTTTCCACACGGCAGCGAAAATATCGCATTTAAAATACAAACAGGATAAAGCAGTGCCTGCCCCAAGCCTTCCAGTGGCTTCCCAGCGTGCTGAAAATATAATTAAGCTCTCACGTCTGCCCAGACCTTCGCGACTCACCTTCCCCTCCCTCCTCGCTCCAGCCGCACTGGCCTCCTCCCAGCACCAGGCCCTCTGCCCCAGGGCCTTGGACCTGGTTGTTCCCTCTACTGTCTGTCCTGTCTTCCCCAGGCCTCACCCAAGCCCCTCCTCGGACCTTCCTGACTCTCCAGTCTCCACTGTCTGCCCCCAAACATGCCCTGGACTGTTTGTGTCCACTTGGCTGGACACGGACTTGTTCCCTGCTGTTTCCAAGGGCCACTTGATACCGGACCTGGCCACAGCAGGCGCTCATGAGAGATTTCTGAACAAACAGAGAGTTTTTACCAGAGGGATTGCACTGGGGGCCCCACCTCTTCCCATATCCAAACCGTTCACAATGTGACTCCATGACTTCCTCATCAGGACGTGGGGGGACGCGGGGGCTCTCTCCTCACCCTTGGGTACGGGCTGGCCTTACAGCTTGCTTTGGCTAAGAGCCGGCGGAAGTAAGTGGTGCTGCCTTCAAGCCTACGCCCCACGAGGTCTTGCTCATTTCTGCTCTGCTTGCTCACTCTCGAAACCCTGCCACTGTGGTGACAAACACAGTTTGTCCAGGCTCCTCTGGGAATGGGCACTTCGTCTTAGGTTGATTTTTTTTTTTTTTAAAGATTTTATTTATTTATTTGACAGAGAGAGACACAGCGAGAGAGGGAACACAAGCAGGGGGAGCGGGAGAGGGAGAAGCAGGCTTCCCGCGGAGCAGGGAGCCCGATGCGGGGCTCGATCCCAGGACCCTGGGACAATGACCTGAGCCGAAGGCAGACGCTTAACGACTGAGCCACCCAGGCACCCCATCTTAGGTTGATTTTGCTTGCCGATAGCTAACCGCCATCTCTTTCCTCACACCCTCATGCTGTCACCGGGAGCCGGGAAGGAAGCTTTTAGCAGGGGGTGATGAGGATGAAGGAAGCAGCCTCAGGCTATATTTTGGAAGTGAAATCAGAATGGATTCAGGGGACCAGTAAGCAGGCACCGGCCGCACAGACGACGATGAGGAGGGACCAGGGCCCTCCTGTGGTTCACCTCCTCACAAGCAGGTAAGGGGCAGAGTTGGGGTTCACACCTGATGTGCTGACTCCCTTTAACTGGGGACAAGGGAGGGGTGAGGAGGCAGCAGCCGAGGGGAGCCCCAGGAGAAACCAACTCACCCCCACTGGGTCCCCACAGAGCCGCTATGTCAGGACCCCAAGGTGATGAAGCAAGAGGGAAACCCCCACGTGGCCGACTGGAGCCTTTGGCCACCTGCAAGGTCCCACGGGGACCGTGACAGGCAACGGTCTCGCTCCTCGTTGCTTAAGGAGGAAGCAGGGAAGTCCAGAACCACAGTCCAGGCTTCCTGGTCTGCGGTGCTGGTGGATGGAGATAGGACTGCAGAGAAGGTGGCTTGTCATGGGGGCTCTGAGGTCACCCAGCCTCATCACAGGGGCAATGGGCAGGGGCACACTGCTGGTTTTACCTGCTGGCTTCTCCTCACATGCGGAGTCTACGACTGTCATGCCCTCCTTCCTTGGCCCCTCATCACTGCTGGTCTGTGCAAAGCCGTTTGGTTTAGCTCATTGCCGGTCGACCAGCAGAATGCCAGACCCCGCTGGGAAGAGGATCGCGAGAACCGTGACCATCCGGTTGGTGGGAGAACAAGGCTGCTGCGTCCACACTGGGTAATGACCCGCAGGACAGTGAACCCTAACTGGGGTCGGGGGTATCTTGTCTATCGGAGCGAACAAAAACAGTCACACGAACCAGCTTTGTGCAAGTTAACCTCGAACTTGGCAGGAGGGCTAAATGGCGGCCCCCAAACAATTGTTAGTCACGGCTTCATTTACAAGATGACCCTCAGACAGGACTTCAATGCTCTGCATGATCTCATAAGGAGGCACCGCTGAATGTTCTTATTTCTGAGTTTTGGGCTTTTCCCGAGCGATGTGGGTGCACCCCCTCACCCCCACTCTCCCAGGGATGGACTTTGGGTCGCTCCCACTCGCTGCCACCCCAGCAACATCATGGAGATGGACGCCTGTGGCCGCGGTGAGTCTGGGGGCGGGGCGGAGGGCCGCTGGGGGGTCATGTGTGCAGCACTCTGCACCCCCACCAGCTGGCACCGAGCCTGCTGTTGCCCTTGTGGAGGGTCCTCCTGTCAGCCTTCTCGCATCTCCTTCCTGTCAGAGGGCTGCCCCCCAAGTCTTGGTGGGACACACGTGGAAGCTGGCCAGAAGGGTGCGCCCCCCTGGCGGGCACCGAAGGCCCAAGCACCTGACCGCCAACACTAACCACGAGCCGGGCTCGGGATGACTTTGTATCCCGAGTGCGGGACACCGTCATCATCAGTCCACACTGACGGAGGCGGTGTGTGTCGAGGGGCTCCCCGAGGAAATCAGGGTCCGGGAGAGCTTGTTAGAAGGGGCGGAGCCTCACCAGCCAAAGCCGCGTTCGCGGGGGTGGCAGAGGCCCCACGATCACTGAGTGATGAGCGCGCGCGGGGCCAGTGGACCCGCAGCCACTTACCTTTCCAGGGCCTCTGTTTCCCCATCTGTGTGATGGGGACAGCCTCACTGGGCTGTGGTGATAAATGGGATGGTGGATTTCAGCGCCGACAGAGGGCCTGACCCACAGCCAGCAGCAGTTTGTCCTGTTATCACCGGCCCACCCCGCCTCCGGAGGTCCTGCAGCAGCAGACGCAGCTTCTCCAAGCGGTTTCCCCTGCTGCACAGTGGGCACGGCGACACGGCCGCGACGCGGGCGCGTGTGGGGGCTCACGCCGGCAAGCAGGGAGTCTGCATTCACTGCTCCACTGGACCTCCGACCTGCCCTTCCCACCTGTCTCACAAGGTGCGTGCTGAGACCCAGGGGCTGGTCCAGGGCACCTCGGCAGACTCACGGCATTCCTTGAGACTGCTGGCACCCACGCCTCCCTCAGCTGTCTGGGAACCGTCCTGCCCCACAGGTGTTGGAAGGGGGAGCCAGCCTCTAGCTACAGACGCCTGACAGTCCAGCTAGTCACGCTCCCAGACTCCCCTTGCGACCAGAGCCTAGACTGGTCAGGTGCAACAGCATCTTCAAGAGAAAACACTAGGGTTTGAACCCCAGGACTGTGCTGAACCGAGGACAAGGCGGGGGGCAGGGGAGCTGATGAGGCAGGCCAGGGTCTGCACTCCACAGTGAGCCACCCCCAGTCCCTCCCCCTCTGATGGGGTCCCAGACCCATGGCCCCCAAGCTCATACCCCATCCTCAGCAAGAGATTGGATTCTTCTCTTGGCAAAATGGGTTCCTCAAGACTTACTGATACTGATATTTGGGGGCCTCCCCCAATGAAGGCTCTAGCAATGTACGTGGGGACCACTGCTGTTTACAGATGTAGACACCAAGACTCAGACTCATGCGGCCAGGAAGCCACAGGCTGAGATTAGAACCCAGGTGGGTTTGGCACTAGGCCAATCCCTCCCTCGAGCCTCGTTCTGGCCTCTAAAGACAGCAGTGGAGACACCTGCCCCTGGGCCCCCAGGTGGGCTGGATGAAACCCATCTCCCACCACCTCCTCTCTAGGCTCAAGGGCCAAGAGCTGGTGCCCAGGGACCCCCATGCCATGGGGAGTCCGCGGAGGGTCAGCTACACAGAACGTGGGACTCCAGTCGGCACCTCCCATCAACAACTTTATTACTCTCCAGATGCTGGTGAACTGTAGTCCCTCCCCACAGTGCTTCCCAGGAGCAGGCATCTCTGTCCATCATGTGCCCTCCCGGCCACAGAGAGGGGCAAGACCAAGGAGCACAGCAGCAGAGCCCGGTCCATCCTGTCAGAACCATCACCCCCCCCACCCCCTCTCCCCCGGTGGGGAGAGGTTTCCTAGGGACAAGATCCTGTCTCCTTCCTTCAGCCTCCTCTGGATCCATGGCCGGCCTGCCGCCCCTGCCCTGCGCTCCTCTCCTGGGCACCAGGCCGGCCTCGCTGCGCCTGGGGCCTGCGGCAGGTGGACAGGGAAAGGGGGGGGGGGCTCGGTTCGTGGACGCACCTGCCAGGAGGGGGAAGGCCCGGGAGCCGTGAGAACCGAATAGGGAAGTGTGGCCAGGGCGGAAAGGGCAGAGGCAACAGTAGGGTGCCGACTCAGGAGCCAGCGCTGGAGGAGGAGGGCTGCGGGCCGGGGGCGGGGGCTGGGGGGGGGGGGGGGCTGCGGGCGGCGCGGGCACGGCAGCGGCTACCCCAGCGGCCAGGCCGGGAAAGGGCCCCCGCCCCCGGGCCCCGCCGGCGCGCCCGCGCCGCCCGCAGCCCGGCCGTGGATGCGCTGGTGGCGCAGCACGTGCTCGCGGCGCCCGAAGCCCTTGCCGCACTGAAAGCAGGCGAACGGCCGCGCCCCCGAGTGCGTCTTGCGGTGGCGCACCAGGTGCTCGCGCCAGTAGAAGGTCTTGCCGCACTCACAGCAGGCGTGCGGCTTCTCGCGCGCGGGCAGCGGGCGCAGGGCCGGCCCGGGGCTGCCGGGGTGTGTGCCGCGATGGCGCCGCAGGTGCTCCTTGCGCCGGAAGGCCTTGCCGCACTCGGGGCAGGCGTGTGGCTTCTCGCCCGAGTGGCTCTGCCGGTGGCGCAGCAGGTGGGCGGGCTTCAGGGCGGCCTTGCCGCACTCGGGGCAGGAGGTGGTGCCCGGGGCCCCCGCCGCCAGGAAGGCGGGCAGGCCCGGCGCAGGCGGCGCCGCGGGGGCCGGCGGAGGGCTGCCCGGCTCCTGCTTGTAGGGGCGCGTGGCCTGGGCGTCCCCCGTCGCCAGCACCTCAGCCCCGGGGGCCGCATCTCCTGCCGGGCAAAGGCACAGAGTGAGGGCAGGGGGCTCTGCACACGGTGGTGAGGCGGTGCAGGGCACCGCGGGCGGGGGCAAAGCTTAATGCCAGGAAACCATGGCGGCGGGGGAAGGGCTGACCGCAGGCTTCTTATGCATCCGTGTCCCTGGGACCCGGCACAGTGCTCGGTACACGCTGCAGGCAGCGCCTAACAAATGGAGGCGCGGATGGATGCGTGGGTGTGAGGGAGGGTGGGTGAATGGGGGATGAAGATGAGTGGTGTACCCACGAGCAGCTTGATGGAGGAAGGCAGGTCAGTAGGTGGGCGGATGGAGGAGGAGATGGGTACAGACGGAGGCGTGGAGGACGGACAGATGGATGGACGGTGGGGCGCCCGGGTGGCTCAGGGAGTTAAGCATCCGCCTTCCTCTAGGCTCATGATCTCAGATCCTAGGACTGAGCCCTGTGTCGGGCTACCTGCTCATTAGGGTATCTGCTGCTCCCCCTGCCCCTCCCCCTGCTCTCTAATAAATAAACAAAATCTTAAAAAAAAAATCCTGGTTTAAAAAAAATGGACGATGGGTAGGTGGGTAGGTGGACAGTAGGTGGATGGATGGGGGTGGGGGGTGGACGGAGAGGGGACAGTGGGGGGGCACATGTACGAGAGCAGGGAGGCGGGCTGATGGCTGAACAGTAGGTGGCTTGACTGCATGATGTGTGAAGGGGGTGGGTGGCGTCTGAGTGGGTTTTGGGTAGACAAATGATTGGGTGGGTAAGTCAGGTGGACAAAGAACCTCACATTTCCTTTCTCCAGGTTTTTAAACTGCTCTATGGAGTTCCAGGGAGATAAGCTCCGGCTCATGATTCAATTTACAAAAACAATCCCAGTGCAACACAAAAAGTGTGAACCCCTCGCCCCCACCCACACATTCCCTCCATGCCAGTCCCAAGCCTTGGTGTCCTGGCCTCTCCTGGGAGCAGAGACACCTGCTATCGGGGGCAGAAGCCACCGTCCCCACCCTGGCTCTGGCCTTAACTTGCTGTGTGGCCTTAGGCAAGCAGCTTGAGCTCTCTGGACCTTGGGTTTCTACTCTGTTGGACACCGGCTTCCAGAGAGCAGAGTGTACCAGTGGGTCAACCAACGGTGGTGTTGGCTTGGTGCACAGCAGCGTGTTTTAAAAATGTAAAGAACATGTGGAAATCAGGCAGTTTCATAAAAATCCAAACTTTTGTCTTTTCTTGAGAAAAAACTGTTGATGTACTGGGGCCACATTGCCACGTGGCAACACAGGCTGCAGGAGAGCTGGCAGAATGGTGCCTGGCACACACCAGCAGCTGGTATGCATGGCCGGGCGCCGGCTATTCTGTCTGACCTCGCTGTGCCCTCCGTGGGGGCATGTCTGATCCATCTCCAGCCCTGGGGCCTAGCTCAGGGCCTGGCACATGGCAGGGACACCAGGAATGTTGACTGAGCAAATGAAGGATGAGCAGAAGGGGGACCCCTCAGGGTGGGAGAGGAGCATCATGTGGGTGAGGGGGTGAGCTACTCACCTAAGGGCATCATCCCAACACCATCCTTTCCAATGGTCACCCCAGAGCCTTCTGTCACATCCTGAGGTGCCCTCACTGCTGGTCCCTGAAATAAGAGATACCACACTCAGAAATGAGAAACCACAGCGATAGCCTCTAATTTTTCTCCCCTGCAACCCCATGTTTAGGCAGTCATCAAGTCCTATCACGTGCTCCGGGGGAAGCTGGCTACCAGGCCTCCTGCTGGTCACCAGGTGAGGGACCCGTCTGGGGAGCAGACCCTCCAGCCCCCAGGTGACCCCCTCATGAGACCCTGAGTCAGATCTGCCCCAAATTTCTGATCCACGGGAACTGTGTGAGACAAGTGTTTGTTGTTGCAAGCCTCTAAGTTTGGGGTGATTTGTTAGGTAGCAACAGACAATTGATACACTTGCTTTAATTCCTACCTTAGCTTCATAATTACTGCCCTCTGGATAAAGTGCAAACTCCTTGACAAAATACACAAGAAAAACACATAAGCTACCTTTAACTTGTGAAAAAAAAATAAAGCAATGGAACTTTTCCCAGCTCAAACAGTAGACCACTTGTGAGCAGGATGGTGCCAGCCAGAACACCGAAGGTTACTGAAAATGTTTCAGACTATTTTAGGTGTCTTTATGCTATTGTCATTGTTTCTTAAGCCCTTGTCCCCAAGGAACAGATCAGAATCCTAGTGCCAACGAAGGAGAGCTGACTCCTGAGTTCCACACATCCAACCCCCTTCTCATATTTGACTTCTTTCAAATGCAACAGCTAGGATGGAAGTCAGTGATGCCTAAAATTCTATCAACTAGCAAGAAGACTCTGCAGGGAGCTTCCAGAGAGCCTTTCTCAAACGTGCATTGTTTGGAATTTGTGAACGCCCACGTTGTCTGGTGGTGGCAGGAGGAATATTTTGCATGGTCACCTTTTTGCTCTAGCAGACTGTAAACTGATTCCTGACCACTCGTGCAGCTCAGGCTGTTATGGTGCTACAGGTGACGACCCGCTGCTTCCTTCTGCTGTGGCCCATGGGCCCCGGCCCCACCTCCTCCTCCAGCCCCACCTCTGGCCAGGTCCTTTCCTGGAAGTCCATAGTAGAAAGTTAACGATGCCCTGAGCGTGCCAGGCTCTCTCAAACCTCCACTCTTTGGCACATTCTGTTCCCTCTGCCTAGAACTCCTTCTCCCATCCCCTTTTCCCTGTCTACCTCTGACATGTCCTTCAAGACTTGACTGAGCCCCCATCCCTGCCACCACACACAGGTTTATGACCCTGTGTGATTTAAGAACAGCCCCTATCCTGCTACCTATCACGCCCCACTACTCAACAGCTTTATTGAGGTTATAATATGGATGTACATTATAAATGCATATATTTAAAGCATGCGATCCAGTGAGTTTCAACATGTACACACTCGAAACTACCATGAGCGTCGAGATGGCAAACATATCTAACAGCCCCTAAAAGTTTCCTTATGCACGTTTGTGATCTCTCTGAATCCCCGAATTACGAATCAGCAAATGCTGATGCATTTCCCATCACTACAGAGCTGTTTTCATATTCTAGAAACTGTATGTAGAACCACAGAGTAAATAGGTACTCTTTTTTGGGGGGGGCGGTTCTCTCATGCAACATAATTATTTAGAGATTAAGGGTACTGTCCTACAGTTTTCCTTCTCGTAGCATCTTTGGTTTTGCCCACAGAAGGAGTTGGGAAGTGTACCTTCTTCAATGTTTGAAGTTTGTGTGGAGTTATCACTTGTTCCTCCCTGACAGAGTCGCCTTAACTGTCACGCTGCATTTTCATGCCTGTGCTTGCCCACCTCCTCCTACAGACTGTGGGCTCCAGGAGGGCAGGGCCTGCCTTCCTTCTGTGGAATCCCTGGTACCAATCCTTCTAGTAACAGCTGTCGCGAGACATAATTCACCTACTGCAGAATTCACCCACTGAAAATACAATTCCGCGGCTTTCAGTGTATTCAGAGCTGTGCAGCCATCCCCAGTCTTAGAGTATTTTCGTCACTGGCAAACTAAATCTCAAACCCAGTAGAGCTACGCCCCTTCCCTGCCCCAACTCCTGGAGCCGAGGCTTCTCTCGGTCTGTGGATGTGCCTGTTCTGGGTGTTGCGTTAGTGGAATCTTGCAGAGTCTACAGTCCCTTCTGACTGGCTCCTTCCCCCTTTCCACGTCACGTCTTTGATGGTCACTCTGGCAGGCGTCAGTGCTTCAGTCCCTTGCGTGGCTGAATAATGTTCCCTTGTGAGGCTGGACCACATTCTGTGCATCTATTCCAGTGGGCACACAGGTCGTTTCCATCTTCTGCCTGTTACGGAGACTGCTGGCCTGCTGCCGTTCGCCTCACATCAGCGACAAGTTTTGTGTGGACGTACGCCCAGCAGTGAAGTGCTGGCTCACAGGGTAGCAGGTGTCTAACCTTCATAGGAACTGCTAGACGTCTCCCACTGCGACTGCCCCGCATCACGTTCCCCGCACCGTGGAAGAGGACAGGGCTCCACTTCCCGGTGCCTCTTCCGACCGTCCTCAAGGGACGCCAGGTGAGCGAACGATGGAAGGGAAAAAGGGTCAAGTTGTCTGCCTTTGCTCTGGTGAAGAAGGGAGTCAAGATAAGGGGGTACCGAGGTGTGGAGTCAGGGTTTGGCCTGAGGCCGACCAGGTCCCCAGGTGCCTCCCAGCCACAGGCCTGCCTGTGGGACCCCGAGCAAGTTACCTCCCACCCTGGGGTCAGAGCAGAGGGGCTGAGGCGGCACTCAGTCTCACCCCGAGTCCTGACCCAGACTGGCAGATGCCGAGGGCACGGCAGAAGGAACTCCCCAGCTCCACGGCCCTCGGTGGGGCTCCTGCGACCCACAGGTGACATCCGCCCCCAGTGCAGCAGGCCAGGGGCAGGACACATGCCAGGCGCCCGCCCGCGAGCAGAACCCAGGAAGCCACACCGCCAGCAGGCTCTCCTGGCGATTCTAGGGCACACACATCCTCTGGATGGCCTGGGGCTCTCTGCTTTGGGGTCCCAGACATGGGATGCTAGGCTGTGCAGAGACCAAGCCCCAGCCACAAGAAGATATTCAGGCAGAGTGGCCATGGGGATGAGGCTGGGGCCCTGGGTGAGACACTGGGGACTCAGTATCTGGCGTACAGCAGGGCTTAGAAGCAGGATCTAGAGCCAGGGCCTGTGGGTTCTATTCCTCCCGCTGCCCCCCAACTAGCCCTGTGACCTTGGGCAAGGTTCTTGACTTCTCTGGGACGCACACTGCCATCCGGGAGACAGAGGATAACAGTATGCAGTACCGACCCCTCAGGGCTGGGTGGAGACGGGCAGGCCGGGCTAACAACAGGATTTATGGGGGGGCTCTTAGCCTCCAGAGGGGCTGGAGACTAGAGTCAGACTATATAACTGACCTCCAATAAGAAGCCTGGACACCAGGCTCGAGAGCCTCCCTCGTCAGCATGGTCAGCACAACCTGGTGCTGTCCCCACGGCGCCTCCAGGAGAGGCGTGCTCCTGGACCTGCCCCAAGTGCCTCTCCCCTCGCTGACTGTGCTCTGCGTCCCTTCACTGAAACAAATCAGAACTGTGAGCACCCCAGCTCTCATCAAGTCCTGAATCCTTCTCATGGATTACCGAACCCACGCTGGCCCTGGGGACCCCCAAACTTGCAGGTGGTATCAAAGCAAGGTGTCCTCGGAGGAACCCCTGGGCGCCGCACACGGAGCCGCCTGGCCACCATCACTGCCCATCTGGGGCAGCTAGGACACTTGGGTTCAGGTCTGCACTTCCCACCCTGGAACTCATTCATGTATTTATTCCAGCTCCACCAGGCAAGGGGGCAGGGAGTGATGGCAGGAGACCCGACCACGTCTTTCTCCCGAAGGTTCAGAGTCTAGCCAGAATCTAGCCGACCACTCAACCTCATCAGCTGAGCAAGCCCTGCGGGCCACCCTGAGCCACGACCACGCCACCCGCCTTCACCTCTCCGGGCTCCCTGCTGCCCTCGCCTTCCTGCACACCGGCCCCGCCAGTGCCACCGGCTTCGGCTCTCACCTCTGCCGGCTGCCCATGCTCTTCCCGTGCTGCGGGCTGTCTCTGCCGCCCCAGGATTCCCGGAGCACCCGGAGGCTCAGGCCGGCGGGCGTTTCCTGTTGTGCTGACTGCGGCCCGGCCCTCCCAGCCTCCCAGCTCCTGACCGCCCACCCGCTTTCCTTTGGGTTTCCTGGGCTGGCAGACACCTGGCCCCCTGGCTATTGTGTGCCCGGGACCGGATGCAGGTGACTGACCGTGGCCAATTTGGTCCCCCCTCCGCCGTCTCCCCTAACCTGCAGAACAGACCAGGCTCTCCCTCCAGACCTGACAGGAAACTTCGCACTTGCCTGCCCGCAACCAACAGAAGCAGCCTGGGGGTTACTCGCTGCTCCCTGGCAAGCCCTTTGCTGAGCACCTACGATGTACCAGGCACTACTCAAAGCACCAGGGACACGTCAGTGAACAAGACAGTCATGGCTCCTGTGCTTGAGGGCCTATGTTCTAGTCACTGCTAGACGAACCATAACATGATTTTCCACAAGGCCGGCTCAGCCGGGTAGGGGTTTCTCTCGGCCCCCTGGAATCAGAGCAGCCAAGAAGAGCCCTTAGAACTGTGGAGGCTCACACGCTGCCAGTGGCAACGCCAAGTGCCACAGCCACCTCGGGAAGCAGTTTGGCGGTTTCTCCTAAAATCAAACACGCCTGCCACGAAACCCAGGCCTCGCACCCCCTGCGATCCACTCCAGCTAAATAAAAACTCAGGTTCACGCAGGAATGCACCCCCAGGTCTTTAAAGCAGCTGCATTCAAAATCACCCAACACTGGAGAGCACTTCTGGGTCCTTCCACGGGGGAGGGACAGAGAAACTGGTGTGTCCACACCACGGGGTTCTACTTGGCGTGAAAAAGGAACCAACTACTGACACACGCGACCACATGTGTCAATCTCAAAGGCATAGTGCTGAGCCAAAGACCCAGCCCCCAAAGCTCACACACTGTGAGTTCCTTTCTGTGCTTCCCCAGAAGACGGACCGCAGACTGGCAGCCCGTGGGGCCCTGGGGCGAGGGCGCCTGTGAGGGCGGACCACGGAGTTCTGGGGTGACAACACAGGTCTGTGTCCTGACTATGGCTACAATTAACCACCGTGTGTTGACAATGCAGAGAACTGTACACCCCCACAAAAAGTTAAAAATACAGTGAAGCCAAGTGCCTGGGTGGCTCAGTCAGGTAAGCGTCTGCCTTCGGCTCAGGTCATGATCCTGGGGTCCTGGGACTGAGCCCCGCATCAGGCTCCCCGCTGAGCGGGGAGCCTGCTTCTCCCTCTGCCTCTGCCACTCCCCCTCCTTGTGTTCTCTCTCTCTCTCAAGTAAGTAAATAAATAAAACCTTAAAAAAAAAAAATACACTGAAGCCGTGGCCCCTCGCACCTGGTAACAGGAGACTCAGCTCCCGAGTGAGAGACCCTGCCGCAGTGTTCTTCAAAGCCCCCACGTGTTCTAGGCAGCCGAGGTCTGGAGCCACGGCCTTACAGCAGTGCGTGCACAATGCATCAGGGAAGGCTCTGCCCCACACAGGCGAGGACCCAGACCTCAGAGACACCCTCGTCCCAGAGGCGTTTCCCAGACTCTAGCTTTCCAGGTCCCTCCGCCACAGTCTGAGTGCAATAAGAAGGTGTCTGTCCCACCAGCAATGGGGAAGCAGCATCAGAGGGGCCATGGATGGTTCGGTGCAATCCCGCAGAACAGCATCACCCCAGGGATGCTCCAGCCGGCTCCCAGCCCGAGGCTGCTCTCCTACCAGAGAGGGAGAGAATGACTCCCGGGAACCCAGGGAAGCCGTCGGGGAATCACCGGGAATCATGACTCCACGAGAATCTGATGCCGCGCTCCCACACCACTTCCGAGTCCTTGGACACGCACCTGCCTTTGTAGCAGGCACAATAGTCCCTGGTCCCAGGGCTCGTGGCTCTGTGCCCTCATGTGGCAGAAGGGCTGGGACTTTGCGGGTGTAACTGACATGAGGGGACAGCCCAGGATTATCTGGACGGGCCCAGTATCATCAGGAGGGTCGGGGTCAGGAGAGGACGTGACCTTGGAAGCAGAGGTCAAGTGAGGCCCAAGGATGGATTCTTCCCTCGAGCCTCCAGAAGGAACACAGCCCTGCCCACACCCAGGTTTCAGCCAGACCCGAGTCAAACTCCTGGCCTCCAGCACTCCAAGTGAGTTCGTCTGGGTTGTCTTTAAGGCACGGGCTCTGCAGTGACGTGTGACGGTGGCAGCGACAGGGAACCATGACCCAGAGAAGCGGCTGTGAGGGGAGGGGTGAGGCTGGTCCCAGGAAGCGGGGGAGAGCCTATCAGAGGAGCTGGGCCTCAGAGACGGAAGGGGCCAACAAGACCACGGCTGCGTCCCCAGCACCCAATGGGGTGCCACAGGCACTCACAGTGGACACTCTCCCATCTTTCTGACTGCTCACCCCCGCCGTCCGCCAGCCTCTGACCCCCGTGCCCGCCAGGCTCTGGCCACCGCTCACCACGCGGCCCACATGTGGCTGCTGAGCACCTGGAAAGGGGACACGTGCCACCTGCCAAGGTGGTAACAGGCCGGATACGCTGAGTTCAACAAATTGAAGCCGCGTGTTCCTTTCCGCCCTTTCCAACGTGCTACAGACAGGGCTCACGTCCTATTTTCCCTGGACAGCGCGGCTCTAAACCGCGGGTCAGCGGGCTTTTCCTACAATGGACCAAGAGTAAAGGTTTTTGGCTGTCTGTGTCCGCACTGCCCTGCTCAGTCCTTGTGGCAAAAGGGCCACAGGCACCACGTGAATGGACCGGCCCGGCTGTGCACCTGGGAGGTTCTGTCACACTCCACAAAACCGGGTGGGGGCAGGGCCCACAGGCTCCTGTCGGGCGACCCCTTGCCTTTAGTAAAGCATTTAGTCTCCCCGGGAGGTGACCTCTAAGGCCCTGGGGCAGCCTACCTGACATGAGCGACTGTGTGCGTGGGGCCCTGGGGCCACACTGGCCAGTCCAACAGTACAATTTATAACGGAGACTTTCAGAGCCCCAGGATGCGCTCAGCCTCCAGGGGGGCTGGAGGGCGAGGCGGGTCATGCATGCACAGCGGAGCCCAACAGAAACTCCGGGCACCAAGGCTCAAGGAGCCACCCCAGCCGGCGATACCACACGCACGCTGTCACGCTCCGTGGCCAGCAGGACCGTCCACGCGCCCCCGTTGGAGGAAAGCTAGAGGCTTCGTGCACGGGGCTGGGCTAGAGCCCTGCCCCTCCTCCCTCCGCTGACCGGATCTGCGTCCTTCTGCCGTGACAAACCCCAACTGTGAGCAAGACGGCTTTCGGATGGTTCTGAGTCCTCCTCCTGAATCGTTCAACAGGAGGGCGTCTCGGGGACCACCCCTCTGCACCGCGCTACTTGCCTGATGCACACACCCACCCCACAGCCTCCCCACGCTCAATCGTGTCCTGAGACCAGTGGCCCTCCGGAGAGCAGAGGCGAGGCAGGGAGGGGGGAGGCCGGTCTCCAACCAGGTGAGGTGGCAGCTGAGGGACGTGGGTGCGAGCAGGGCCCCTCACCCCCCACCAACCCTGTGCTCACCCAGAGCTCCTCCAGCAGGGCCACGGCGTCCTCCCCGCTCCGGGGCTGCCGGCTGCACACCCAGGCCTGGATGTCAGCAGGGAGGGCACTCAGGAACTGCTCCAGCACCAGCAGCTCCAGCATCTGCTCCTTGGTGTGCAGCTCGGGCTGTAGCCACTGGCGGCACAGGGCGCGCAGCAGGCCCAGTGCCTCGCGGGGGCCCGGCGCGTCGCCCAGGTGGAAGTGGCGAAAGCGGTGCCGGGGCGAGTCCAGGGTTAGGCCCTCGGCCGATGGGCCTTCCTGCTTCACGGGCTGGGCAGACGGGACCTCCATGGGGGTCTGTGAGCCCCGCAGGGACGGCAGCACCTGTGGGGAGGGGCGTTCAGCACCGTCAGAGCCCAGCTCAGGGACTCAAGAAACCACCGCCTCCTGCCGGGTGCACCCCACACATGCCCACGTCAGAGGTCAGGGCTGGGTGACCTGGAGTAAGCGGCGGTGCCCTCTGTGCCTCAGTTTCCCCTGTAGGTCGAAGTGCTCCCCTACCTGGCACAGCCAAGGGAGGAGTGCCTGGGAAGGAAGGTGCCTGTGGGCTGCTGTGCCCAGGGCCCTGCACACAACAGGTGCCGAAGGAAGGGAGAGTCGGATCCCCGTCCTGGGACGGCCCAGGCTCAGATCCCGGCTCTGCCCTTCCCTGAGGGTGACCGCGGGCCCTGCTGTTCCTCCGACTCCTCCCTCAGCTTCGTGTGAGGAGTAAACACACAGAGAGCTGGCACAGTGCGCGGCACCAGCGAGTGCTCAGAAAGCCCTGAGGTCCCGTCAGTGCTATCATCGTCGTCACTGGTCACCCCGATGACACGCATTCCCTGAGTCCCCAGCATCCCCTGCAACAGATGCTCACAACGCCTCCTCCAAAGACACCTCTGCAACCGCTTCCTTATTCATGGCCCCCCAAGTCCACATGAAGCTCCAACCCCAGCACCGCGGTATCTGGAGGTGGGTTTGGGGAGATGAGCAGGAGCACACGAGTGTCGGCTGAGCTGGTACAAGCTCCGGGTAGGAGACGAGAAGTCATGTGGGGGGGTCTAACATACAGCGTGGCAACTGGGGCTCAGGAGACTGTGCCGTCTGCTTGGAAGCTGCTAGGGGAGTGAGCTCACAGGTTCTTTCTCATCACAAGAAAAAGCAAGGGTGACTATGCGAGTCAAAAGACGTGAACCGAACTCACCGTGGCGACCGAGTCACAATATACCCACGTCAGAGCGTCACGTGTATCTTAACACAACACTGTATGTTGGTTACACCTCAATAAAACGGGGAAAAGAGACGAGAGAAGCCATAAGGATGAGGTCGGAATCCACGGGATCGGAGCCCTTGCAGGAACAGAAATCTCCCGGATGTGCTCCGCCACGTGAGAAGATAAGCAGGCTGCCCACTGCAGCCCAGACACGAATCTGCCTGCAGCTGACCGTGGACTCCGGCCCGAGAACTGAGAAATAAGCATCTGTTGTCGAAGCCCCAGTCTGTGGTATTCCTGTGGCTGCCTGAGCTGCCCCATACACGGACAGGCCCCCAGTCACGTCCAGGGATCAGGAACCATGGTGGACTGCAGGACTGGCCCCCATCCACTCTCCCCTTCCTCCTCTGTCCAATCCCCCCGCCCCCAAGGAAGCTGTGTGCCTTCCTCTTCCTCTTCCCATTCCTGAAGGAGGGGACCTGGACGTGGCAGTGCTTCCACCAGGGGTGATGTGACCTTGGGAGACAGCTGGAAATGTCCGGAGACTTCTGACTGCTGGATGGGGGCAGGGGAACCATGCTGCCGGCATCCGGCGGGGGGGGGGGCAGCTGGGGGTCCTACAGCCCACAGGGCAGTCCCACGGCACAGAATGATCCAGCCCCAAATGTCGACAGCACCCAGGCTGAGAGACCCCGGCCTGGAGGAGACGTCCTCGTGTGGTCCAGGGACCCCTGGGGCACTGAGAGGTCAGAACTGCGTCATCACAACAGTAAGACATTATCTGCCTCTTTTACTATCCCTCTCTCCTGAGTGTACGCTGGGGTCTTCCAGAGGCTGCATGAACGCAGACCGAATGCAGAAGCAGATGCGAAACCCAGCCGTCTTCTTTGAGCCAGGCATTGGAGAGATTCGCAGAAAAATAAGGCCACATTTCCAATTTTTTGTTTTGGAAAACACAGTTACTTTCCATTTAGAAAATGTTATTTACGTCAACATGTGAAAGGTTGATTACTTCTATTTTTAAATGCATTAATAAATACTTTGAAATTTCTTTGACCTTACATTTTAATAGGATAGATACCCATAAACACAACTGCTATAAATAAAAATGCTTTGGGATCTCCAATAATTTTTAAGAATATAAAGGGGTCCTGAGTTCAAAACGCTTGAGAACCACTAGGACTGGGGTCAGCAAACAGCCACCTGTGGGCCAAATCTGGCCTGTAGCCTTTTTTTTTTTTTTTAAGATTTTATTTTTTGGTATTCTCCGTAACCAATGTGGGGCTTGAACCTACAACCCTGAGATTAACAGTCGCGTGTTCTACCAAGTGAGCCAGCTGGTTGCCTTTTTTTTTTAATTTTTGAAAGATTTTTTATTGATTTGAGAGGGAGAAAAAGAGAGGTAGTGAGAGAAAAAGCCCGAGCAAGGGGGAGAAGCGTAAGCAGGCTCCCCACTGAGCAGGGAGCCCCACGTGGGGCTCGATCCCAGGACCCTGGGATCACGACCTGAGCCAAAGGGAGACGCTTAACCAACTGAGCCACCCAGGTGCCCGCTTCTTCTTTTTTTACATAAAGTTTTGCTGGTACATGGCCATGCCTATTTGCTCATGCACCGTCCATGGCTGCTTTTGAGCTCAGAAGGCAGAGCTGAGTAGAATCACAGAAACTGAATAACCTGCAAAACTGCCCACAGGGTTAGAGATATTTACTATCTGGCTCTTTCCAGAAAAAGTTTGCCAACCCCTGACCTAAAGGATGGTGGGACCAACACAGAAGGGATCCTGGATGACCCTGTGGGTCACGGCACTGACCCAACCCAGAACACCACTGCACTGTCAGAAAACAAGTTCTATCTGACTTGAGCCACTGTGTTTTGGGGCCTCCTTGCTACAGTAGCTTGCTCTCGATCACGACTAAAGGACACTCCTCTCGACCACAAGGCAGGAGGTAGACAAGGGCTCTGACCAATGAGATTTAAGAGAAAGTCTGTGTTTGAACAACTCTCCTTTTGATACAAGAAATTTCTGTGGCCAACCGCATTTTGCAGCAGAGCAAAGGAGGTCAAGAGAGAAGATCCTTGGCTCTGGGACACAGGCTCTGAGTAGCTGGGCTGAAAGGTCCCCTGGACAGCCCAAGTCCAAAGCTCTGGCTCTTTACTACTACGCCACTGACCATGGACATCATCTCGTTGTTGGGCCGGCCACCACAGCCCCCCTCATCATCTCCCTGCTCCCAAGCCTGCCGCCCTAGACACAAATCACTCCACAGCAATCAGAAAGGGTTTTTTCCCCTCAATACAAATCACATTATGTCACTTCCCCCACTCAAAACCCTCTGCTTCCTTGCTACACAAGGTCTCACATCTGCCTACCTTTCTTGTCTCCTACCATTCTATCCCTGGCTCTCCTCCAGGCACACTGGCCCCTTGATTATATTCTCAGACTCAAGGCCAGTCCTGCCCCAGGGCCTTTGTACCTGCTCTTCCCTCTCCCCTCCTCCTTGCTCAGCTGGCTCCTTCTCTTCTTTGAGGCCTCCATGCAATTTCCCCTACTTGGAGAGCCTCCTCAAATCATCCAATTAACATAGCATCCACACACCCTACCCTGCAGTTACTATCCTGTCACCTTTATTAATTTCCCCTTAGTGTTTAACAAGGCGGTGTGTTATATTTGTGTGCTCTCTTCCCTCATGAGAATTTAAGCTTCAGGAGAGCAAGAGACCACAGACACAGAGGCCAGCATGCTGGCTGGCACTCAAAGAAAATTTATGGGATGATCAGTCCTATGAAATTAGTATTATTACTGCCCCCATTTTGCAAATGGAGAAGGTGAAGACATCTTGCCCAAAGTCACCCAGGTAATAAGTAACAGAGCCTAAACTCACACCCAGGTCTGCCTGGTTCCACAGCCAATCTGCAACATCACCTCCACTCATCCCTCCATTTGAGGACTGACAAGCCTGGGAATGGCCGGGAGGGCTTCCCAGAAGACCTGGGCCAGAGCTGAGTCTCCAAAGATGCAGAGAAGCCTGCTCTGCTGTGAGAAAGATCCCTCTGGGATGGGACTGGAATCTGACCTGAGGGAGCCAGGCCCCAGGCATCAAGCTGAAGGGTCCACAATCCGGTTGCACCCAGCACCTCTGCATGGCACGCTCAGTTAACAAAATGCTTAAGGGGTGGGCTCTGGACCTTGGCCATCACGCTTCCACTTTCAGCTCTGCCATTTATCCAGTGCCTGACCTTGGATCCATGATTTGCCTGCCCCTCTGTGGGCTGAACTTCTCCACCTGTAAACCAGCACTGATAACAGCTCCTTCCCCACATGGGGCTACTAAGGATATGAATTAGAAGTGGCTCAGCATACAGTAAGTGCTCAATGAAGACTTGTGTGCCTACTGCAGGCTTTCCAAACTCAGCGCTCGTCATACATAGGGCTGGATAATTCTGTGTTGTGGCAGCCGTCCCATGCCCTGTGGAAGGTTTAGCAGCATCCCTGGCCTCAGATGCCAGTGGCTGTCTCCCCAACTCCCCAACTGCGACCCCAAATAGGTTTCCAGATATGGTCACGTACCCCCGGCTGAGAGCCACTGGTCCACTGGACAAATATTTACTCAGAGCACAAGGGCTCTGGAGCAAATCCCAGTTCTTCAGCCTCCTAGCTATCTGTCCTCGGACAAAGTACAATAGCACCTTTTATACATGGGCTCTCCATTTCCTGGGCTGCAGAATGGGAAGAAAAACCCTAGGGATGCAAGAGTCCCAGCGTATGAGTGTGAGACGCGAGGCAAAGCAAGATGCTGCGAGCAGGGGCGCCTGGGTGGCTCAGGCGCTAAGTGTCTGCCTTCGGCTCCGGTCATGACCCCAGGGTCCTGGGATGGAGCCCCGCATCGGGCTCCCTGCTCCGCGGGAAGCCTGCTTCTCCCTCTGACCCTCCCCCTGCTTGTGCTCCCTCTCTCGCTGTCTCTCTGTCAAATAAATAAAAGCTTAAAAAAAAAAAATGCTGAAAGCAGCACCTGGCCCAGCAAGTGCTCGGAGTGGGAGCGCGCTTACTGCTACTCAGGGAGGCGCTGGGCGACACCGCTAGCCACCAAACAGGCGCACGGCCATCTACGAGGGGACCGGGACTCCAACGGCGGGCACAGAGGGTGCCCGGAGGCCGGCTCGGGGAACCGCTTCGGCAGGCGAACGCAGCCTGGAGCACTTTGCCCCCGCCGGCCAACTGCCTCCCGTGCACCAAGCCCCCGACCCCCCGACGTGGGCGCTCTGCACCCGGAGAGGGGAGCGCGCCGCTCAGCCGCCGCCTCGGACGCCCGGAGCTCCGCACGAGTGCGAGCGCCCGCGGGACTCCCGCGCCCAGGACCCGGCCCCCGGTCCCGCTCCCGGCCCCACCCCCGCCCCTCCCCCTCCGGGGCCCTCCCCCACACCCCGCCCCCGGCTTTCCACTCTCTCCCGCGTCCTCCACCCCCAGGGGCCACAGCCCCCTCCCACTTCCCGACCCTCCCCAGCCCCTCCCCCTCCCGTTCCCTCTCCCCTCCCCCTCGCCTACCTCCCGCTTCGCTCGGCCCCCTTCTTCTCCCCTGCCCCCCGCTCCCCATCCCTCCGGCCTCCGGCCTCCAGCCCCCCCCCCCCCCAAAGCGCATCCAACCGCCCCCCCAACCCCCCCTTCCCCTCTCGCTCACCTCACTCTCCCAGACGAGGCCCCCCAAGCCCCCTCACCTCGTCGCACATGCGCACAAAGCTCACCGGGACTCCATGCCCCGGCAGGCTTTGCGCCAAACTCATCCGTCCCCCGCCCCCTAACCCTCAGACACCGAGGCGTCCGTTCCGCCCCTCACCGACCCCGCCCCCCGCCCCCCGCCCCACTGGCCTCACCTAGAACTACATTTCCCAGGAAGCATCGCGGCAAAAGGACGCTTCCCATTGGCCGCTCGCCGTGACGAACCTCTCCCGCCCGTCTCCAAATAGTTCTGAACTACACGTTCCAAGGTGCTTCGAGCACGGCCAGCGGCCTATTAGCCCAGACAAACAAGGCCTCTCGGCGCGCCAGGCTCTAAACTACATTTCCCAGAATGCCTACAGGGCTTCCCATTGGCTCGCACGCGGACGCGGGCATGCGCAGACGTGCCGACGGGGAGGCCGAGGGAGGGAGAAGGAGGGGTCATGGCGGCGTTGTTGAGACAGGTAGAGGTGGGACGCCGGCGGGCGCTCGGGAAATGAAATCCCCGGGCGGTCGGGGCGGGCAGGCGAGGAGGAGGGGTTGCGCCAGAGTTCTGCGCCAGTCAGGCCTGCGGGGTGTGTCTCCTTGCGCGTCGCCTACTCCGTCCGGGCGGCGCTGACGGGGTCCAAGGTGGGCGCGCGTTGGGACCCGCGTATCTGGGGCCGACCTGGGCGCCCTGGTTCGGCTCCTCCGCCGTGAGCCTGGCGCCCAGCGTCTGACCTCAGTGCTCCCTCCTGCGTGAATCGGGAGAAGGTGCTGCCGGCCGCACGTCGTTGGCGTGCTCCCATCGGACAGGGCAGCTGCCTCAGTTTCCCCATGTCGGGAACGGGAAGAGTTGGTTTTTAGAGCAGGGAGAACTCTTAAGAGATGGGCCGAAGCCCTGTGTCTGAGGACGGCTCGCTCGAGCCGCGTGCGCCCGGGCGCAACGCTGGACGTCGGCCCCACCTCCCCGCTCGCTAAACGCACGGGAACTCTCCCCCGGGTCGGCTGCGGTCAGTGGCTGAATCGGGGCCTCCTGCCGGGCCCACCTCTCGCTTCAGGAGTTCCGGCCTCCCCGGCCTCCTTTCTGCCCCAGGAACACGGCTGAGGTTGCCGCTCACGTCCCGTCGCCCGTTTGACGTCGCAGACCTATAGGGTGGGCCGGAGCTTTTGCTCCCTACCCCCAGCAAGGAGACGCTTCGTCCTGCCTGTTCGCCTCTGAGAAGATGAATCTGTCGTTCGTCCAGGTGCCCGGCCAGACCTGGAAGGGTCGCGCTTGCTTCCCCTTCTCCGTCGCCCCGCACATCCGGCCCATCCGCGGGCCTGTTGGCTGCGGCCTTCAGGTGGTCACAGGTTGTCCACTTCTCCTGATGCTGTCACCTGGCCCGAGTACCCTTGACCTCTCCCTTGAACGACTGCAGCAGCCTCCCTAGTGTCCTGCCGCCGCTCTGGCCTCCTCCCACCCCAGTCCCTTCTCGTAGCAGCCAGAGGGATCATTTTTGTGATAAAATACATGTAAAATGGGGCGCCTGGGTGGCTCGGTTCAGCGACTGCCTTCGGCTCGGGTCATGATCCTGGAGTCCCGGGATCGAGTCCCGCATCGGGCTCCCTGCTCGGCGGGGCGTCTGCTGCTCCCTCTGACCCTCCCACCCCCATGTAGTCTCTCTCTCTCTCATTCTCGCTCTCTCAAATAAATAAAATCTTTAAAAAAATGTAAAATTTACCATTTTAACCATTTTTAAGTACGCAGTAGAATGGCATTAATAACATTCACTGTGGTGCAACTATCACCACCATCTGTCTCCGGAACTCTTTTCCTCTTGCAAAACTGGAAGTCTGTCCATTAAACAACTCCCCATTCTCCCTCCTGCCCCCTGCCCCAGCCCCTGGCACCCCATAGAAGTGGAATTAGGCAGCGTTTGTCTTCTTGGGACTGACTTATGTAGCACAATGTCCTCTGGGTTCATCTAGGATGTGGCATGTGTCGGAATTCCCTTCCTTTTTAAGACTGATAATTCATTACATATGTATATCACATTTTGATTTTTCCATTCATCAGAGAGTTTTTAAATCTTAAATAGGAACATGTCACTCTTTTGCTTAAAACTCTCCAGTGCAAACCCTTGAATCTGGCCTGCAAGATCCCACATAATCGGACCCCTTCAGATCCAGAATTCCTCTCTTCTATGGTGGCTTGGTGCAGATCAGAAAAGGGTGCCCTCAGGACTGTGGGCCCAAGCCAGGGGATGGGTGCGGCAAGCAGATGGAGAGCAGGATTCAGCCACCTCCTCCCATGCGGCCAGGTACTTGTAGGTAGGGTGTGAGGATCACCCCAGCCCTTGGCCCAGCACCACTTTCCTTCAGACATGATCACTGTGCTCCATCACAGTGGCCCAAAGGTTCTGAGTCAGATCCCAGACAAGCCACAGAGCATCACCTGGGGGCTCATTAGAAATGCAAATTCTCGGACCCCACCTCAGACCCACTGAATCAGAAACTCTGGGGGTGTTGGGCCCAGCACTTTGTTTTAACAAGGCTTCCAGGGGGTTGTGATGCACGCACCAGCATTCTTGGGTCTGGCATTCAGCAGCACATTAGAATAGTCACCCCTTCACAGGGTCCTTGTGCTGCTCCCTGCGTGAATACGTGCAAAACACTTAGATCACGCCTGGTAGAGAGTAAGGAGCTGATGAACATTAGCTTTTGTTTTCTTTTTCTTTTTCTTTTTTTTTACTTTGCCTACAGTTAACATAACTGATAAATGCAAGCCCAACCCAGCTGCAAGGTTGAACACCAATCTCCCACCCCCCACCCCGGCCCCATATAATAAAAACAGCTTACTTTACCACAGAATGTTGTCTACTCATGTCTTGTGCAATTCATGTGTAGGGCACCTATTCTTGTTTTTTTTAATTTTATTTAGGGGTGCCTGGGTGGCTCAGTTAAGCGTCTGCTTTCTGCTCTGATTGAAAAAAAAAAAAAAAAACCACAACAGAAGAAGAAGGGCCCCCTGCTCCGTTGAATGCCCTCCTGGGGCCATCTTGAGATTCTTAACTCTTTTTTTTTTTTTTTTTTTTAGGATTTTTATTTTTTGACAGAGAGATAGCAAAGAGGGAACACAAGCAGGGGGAGTGGGAGACCTTCTTTTTAAATTGTTTTAAATTATTTTTAAAAGATTTATTTAATAGAGAGAAAAGTGGAGGGTGGCAGAGGGAGACAGAATCCTGAAGCAGACTCCCCACTGAGCGCGGAGCCTGACATGGGGCTCTATCTCAGGACCCTCAGATCATGACCCGAGCCGAAATCAAGAGTCAGCCACTTAAGGGACTGAGCCACCCAGGTGCCCCAACCCCCTTTTTAAAGCATGGGGCTCTGCATTTTCATTCTGCAGTGGGCCTCACAAATTAAGTAGCCATTCATGTCATACCACCTCGATCACCTGTCCACACACAGCTCTGTTTCTCCAGCATTCGAGTGCACTATAGTACTGGTGAGGAATGGAAAAAAGAAATGAGTCCCTGGATGTCCTCCTTCCATTTCTTCACCTGGTAACATCATATATTCCTCAGCAATCCGTTCAGGTGCTGCCTCCTCCAGGAAGCCTTCCCAGACCACCACTCCTGCCCCAGTAAATCTGGACGAAGCTCCTCATCTGAGCTTCCACAGTGCCCCTTCTCTCTCCATCTCGTGCTTGGACTATTTTTTGTATCTGCCCTGCTCATCCTCTGGTGAGCAGCTCAATAACAGAGACCCAGTTGTTGCCAGTTCCCAGTTTGGGGCCTGCCTCTGAGTGAGTAAATAAGGATTGAAGGAAAGTGGTTCTTACCTTACTTCCCAGGCCTGAGGACAAAAATTCTTTAGGCAGCAAATTTGGCCCATATCCTACCAAAGCTTCTGGGCTCCTTTGTAGCACCACTATAATTATTACTCAAAATAATAATTAACGTTTTCTCTTTTGTATGGTGCTTTAAAGCAGGGAGATCCTCCAGGGTGGGGAGGGGATTTGGTGCATGCCCGGGTGTCCAGCCCCCGGCACCTGGAGGCTCAGGTGATGTTTATTGGATAAACGGGTGATGGATGAGTGATTACAGAGCCAGACAGCCAGTCTGCACCCCCAACGAGGGCCTCTGGGGGCTGGATTGTGAGTGTGAGTCATCTTCACCAGGCCTCAGGAAAACACTCGGGAATGAATAGTTAAATTATGAATGAATTGCTTAATGATGGGCACACACTGCCTATTAAGTTATTCCACCCTACGCTTTCTCTGTGGGACTGCAGAACAGATCAAAGCATCAGCCCATTTTACAGTTGGGACAAGTGAGGCTTCCCCAAGAGACAGAATGAGAGAGAGGCCTAAGACCAAAGTTTCACAACCAGCAGCGGGTGTGGTGAGCCAGGTCTTCTGTTCTGTGGCCCTTGTGTGGCCCAGGCGGCAGGTCTTCAACTGGCCGGGAGAGCCTGGACAGGCAGACGGTGAGCAGGGCCGAAGGCCCAAGGGAGCCAAGCCGACCTTACCTGCCAGCGCAGGGAATTCCCCTGGAAAGTTCTGCCCAGCTCTGTTTCCACACATCTGCCCAGAGCAAATGCAGCTTCTCGGCAGAGGTGATGGCCACGTGTCTTGTCTCAGGAGGTTGGAAGCCAAAATGACCTCTCCTGCCTCCTTATGGCTAGAGTTCTGGGGGTGAAGTCAGTTAGATGCACTGGGGTAAGAGTTGGAAGGCCAATCAAAGCCACCAGAACCGCCTGCAATCAAAGTCAGGCTGACTGAAGGTTCTGGAGGACTGGTCCCGGGGGAACCTCAGGAAGCCGGGAAGGTTAGTGCAGGGCAGGGTGGCCAGGGGCTGAGGAAGCAGTGATAAAGAACGGGTGTCCTTTGTGCGTCGGGGGCATTCAGGATTTCTGCGGTCATGCTGTATTAGTCTGCTGGAGCTCCCATGACAAAATACTGCAGACCTCGGGGCTTACAAGGCAGAGATTTATTCCCCCCCACCCAGTTCTGGGGGCTGGAAGTCCAAGATCAGGGCATCGGCAGGGTTGGTTTCTCACAAGCACTGATTTGGGGCTAACAACTTTTAGCAAGTA